CGAATTCTTAGAAGTTATGATTATAAGTTATGATTTCTATTAAAAATCCTCTGTTTATAGAAGACTAAACAATATGTTCTGTCTATATAAGACCTCAATAAGGTATTTAGTTTGGAGTATATCTGAAAAACTCGTTCGTCTATATGAGTCCAGAGAAAGGTCAGCTGCCATTGGGTAGGGTTTCCAGCTATATAGTGTAGAGAACCAAGAGAACATTTTCTGAATAGAGAAGATATGTAGGAGGTCTTCTTTCTGTAGAAGATCTGAAGAAAATCGTATGTCTATAAAATACCTGAACAAGTTATTCTGTTTATAGAGTAGATATATTCTGTTTATAGTAGATTTGAAGAAGCTATTCTGTTAAAAAGACCCGAAGAAGGATATTTGTTTGGAGTATATCTGAAGAAGCTCTATTGTCTATACGAGACCAGAGAAAGGTCTGCTTTCTATAGAAACCCTGAAGTTGGGTTTCGGCTATAGACGACCTGTAGAATTTTTTGTTTTTATTCGAATTTAGAAGAAGGTCTGCAGTGTATAGAGGACCAGCAGAAAATTTTTTGAATACAGTTCTTCAATAAAAGACCTGGAGGTAGAAGTTCTCTAGTGTATATCATACCAGACAGTACAGCTGATGTCTATAGAAGCCCTGAAGGAGATCTTCGTACTATAGAAATTCTAGTGCATATTCTGTCTTAAGTAGACCTGAAGGATATCATTTGTTTGTAGAATATCCGAAGAAGATCTTCTGTTTAATAAATATTCTGTCAATATAAGAACCTGAATACATACAAATACGGAATTTTTGTTTTTGGATATCCCATCTAAAATCTTATAAGCGATATTTTGTGGACTATTTGGTAACCAAACAATATCGTATACGGCCCAAGAAAATAAGGACAAAAATTTTGTATAAGGACTCGACATAGAAGATGACATGTTTCAGAAAAAATATTACTCATTATTTTGTCAAGTATTATTATTATACCCACCAACACAGTATGAAGGGTATATTAGTTTTGTTTGTCCGTTTGTAACTCATCGAAACAATCATTTCCGACCCTATAAAGTGTTTATATTCTATACGTCCCTGCCCTTACCCTATGGTTTGCGGAGTTTTACGCAGGATTTATTACCCATTTTATGAAAGGTATATGTTCAATTAAAGGATTTTATGTTGATCAAATATATAATATTGACCCTTTTGTAGGATGTACCAGAAGAGAGGGCAGACGGGTACCACCTTAGGACCCGATCTAGGCTTGGTAAAGATAATTGGTTGTGCAATGTTTGGTTCAAATCGGACATTCCAAAAGCCTTATATTGGATTTATAAATATTGAAAGTTTTGACCTTTAACAGAAGGTAACAGAAGGAGAGGGCCAATGTATCCCATCTTCAAACTTGATCTAGGCTTGGTAAAGATAATAGGTTGTGCAAAGTTTGGTTCAAATCGGACATTCCATTAGCCTGATATTGGATTTATAAATATTGCTGGCTGGTGCGCACGATAACTCTCGAAGGGAATAATCTTAATATTTCTTCTAAACTTAGTTTAAGTTCAAAGATGGGGAATATCAAACCACTCCTTCTGGTACCTCCCACACAAAAATGTTGATGAACATTATTTTATAAGCTTTGTACAACATATTTTAAACAAGCCTGTATAATAGTGGAATATGGTCCACTACTTCTTACACCGCCATTAAAGGGCCAATATTTTGAATATTGAAGCGAACGGAATATATATGTTATCCAAACTTAGTACATCGTAATATTTTAAAATCTAAATCAAGTCCAAAGATGGGATGCATCGGTTCAATTCTTCTGGTACATCCCCACAAAGTGTCAAAATTGTCATTATTTATAAACCCAATATTAGGCGAATGGAATGCCCGATTTGAACAAGGCAAATTTACGACAATTATCGGCTACCATCATCTGTAGTACCTGCCACAAACCGGCAATTTATCTGTCGGAAACACCAATTGAATTTTGTATTTGTTTATCCAAAATAAACAAGTGAGCGGAGCAGCATAGTCGGTTGGGCCATATGTTTCCCTATACAAATACCACTGGATTTAAATTTTCAGCAACAATTGTCCATATTTGTGTCTCTAATAATAATAACAATGTAGAAAACTTGTTTATTCGTTGCCCACATCCACTTCCTGGTTAAATTTCATGGATTTCGGATTATAAACATGGCCTTTAATCCCATATACATCATACATCATAATTTTTGGTATATATTTAAATGTCAAGCACTCATCTTTGATATAGTGTCACCTTCCACGTTCTTCGTTTTGCGGAGTATTTTTTTATTTTTAATTTTTCACACAAAAGACTTGGACCATTGGACCCGCCAAATATTGGTCGATATTTATGAGAACATCTATTTCCAGAACAGATTGTGATGTCTAGGGGGACCAGTAAAAAGCCAAAAATAAATTTGTTGGTCCATTTGATCCCCCAAATATTTAGCGAACATTGACCTAAACGATAGGTGACATCCTACATGCAAATGACGAAGGATCCATAACTACAAATTATAATGGGCAGATGGTCGAAATATATCGGTATACTATAATGGAGCAATATTACGCCTCACAACATCGAGAAAACAAATATAAAAAATATCAATATGATGAAAACAAAAAATGCCCAAAATCCGCCCAAGTCATAAATTTTAAATTTTTATGCCCACTTTCGGAAACACTAGTTTTGAGCGTATTTTTCGACTGAGTTAGCTGTAATTTAGTACTTTGAGTTCTTATTGAGTAGCATACCTCTCCATAAAAACATATAGAAATATAGGTCCATAGGTTAGGCTTAATCCCAGTTTGTTGTTTTTATAAAAAACAACTATTTATTAGTGGGGAATGTATGGCATTGTCCGCCGAAGGGTAAGGCAGGGAAGACTATAGTTTCGGATCTCGCCACTGATTCTCATCAGTTCCCTTAGTTTTTTGTTGGGATATACTACCCAGAAGCTATTAATAGCTTCTTTACAAAAAACCTTTCAAACCCAAATGTCTCTTGTGACAATTCGAAGTTCTTACGTTACCATCGATACGACCCCAATGAGAAGTTCGTTTCGTTGGCGCCTGACTTCGTGGTCAACAAGGCATTTACAGACAACTACATTACATTTCCCACTGCTATGTGTCGTCATTTTGTGACGAATGCACATAACGTTGATGTTGTTGTTTCAGATTTTAAGAAAATCCCCATTAAAAATCGTTTAAATTTATATTTGGTGTACATAATATTTTACAATAGTCGGTTTGTAGAATTGTCAGTATAGGTCCAATTTTTGGTATGTTCCCTGTATTTTCATTTCAAGTTCGTTTCAGTATACCGGGGCTAAGTTCGGCCCGGTCGAACTTAACGCTTTTTTCACTTGCTTTTATATACTATCTTCAATTTATATGTTATTGTTTGTTTTAATTGATTTACTTTATACTTTATGGTACTTTAATTAGTTATTGTTTGTTTAAAATAATTCATACTTTTGTAAATTTTTCTCAATTTCTTATTATCATTATTAGTATATACTCAATCAATATAACTCATCACAAGCACTTAAATTCTGCTACAAACTTTAAATTACACTTATAAATTTGTAATATGCTCTTAATGGAATAAACACAAATTGTTCCTATAATTTGATAAGTTGTACGTGCGTTTACAATTTCACTAAAAGTTTTTTTCCTTCAACGAAAAAAAATCGTTTATTTGTTTGTCATTCGAACAAATTTGCCATCCTTTGCAGGAAATTTTTCAATCTCAGTTTTTTTGTGTTCCATTCATGCGCCGCTATTTTTTACTTTAAATACAATGCAATGTAAATTTACGAACTGTAAGGACGAAGTTTTTTACTTTTACTTTGATTTCAAGTAATTTGTGTTTCACTTTTTTCCAGTTTTGCCTTCATACTTTTCGTAGTTCGGTGTGTGTGTTTTTTATTATCCTTGTTGCTTGCTGCTACTCAATGAAATTTGTTTATTACTATGACGGAACAAAGTGGGTGGGAAGGGGTGGTTGGAAAACTAGTTCAACAAATGGAATGTCAAACACATTTTGGTATGCACTGAAATTGTGAAAGTTTTGCAAATTGTTTTTGTAAGATTTCTGGTAATTGCTGTTGTTGGGATACTGTTGCCAGAATGAAAACCTCTAAATCCATTGTCCAGTATGTCTGCACCATGGAGGCTTGATTTTTTCTCTCTTTTTTTTTGATTCTGCAAATCATGTTGATAATTGTTCAATATTTAAGTAGCAAAAATTTTTGCAGGAATTATTTCTCGAAGAAATTCTACTGCAGTTGACTTTCTTTACTTCCTCAACCTCCTCCTTCCATTTACCTCCCTGCTTTTACTGATGTCCTGGTGGCAGTAGAATTCATGTTTATGACACTGGATTAAGTTTCAAGTTTTTCTTGAATTTCATACTTCGGTCATGGTAGTGTGTGGTATTTAATAGGGTGTATTTCTATGTGTGTGTTCGTGTGTGTGTACATTTACTACGAAGTCAAATCCGATACTTAATTTAATTGCTTTCATTGAAAGTTCATTTTTATATTTGTTTGTTTGCTTCTGAGTTGTTTGGAATTCTTTATTGCTTTGTGAATGTGTGTTTGTGTGCTATACCATTACACAGATATTTGGGGCGTAAATATTTTTTGCGAAACAAAAAATAATATAAAAAGTTCAATATTTTATTGAACTTGTTATTGTGCAGAAGTTGTTGTTTTTGTTTGTTTGGTTTTGTTGTTTTCGCATAACAACCAACACCTTCAATAAAGTGATCAATTATCGTCACAGTTCGTTCGTTCATGCATTCGGAAGTTTTTCATGGGCAATTAAAACCAACAACAAACATTGTGGATGTTTTTTGTAGTTCAATAATATGGGGTTGTATGTATGAATGTGCTTTCGCAATATTATTTGCCATTAATAGCATAAGCTGGCATAAAGTTATTGCAATGTTGTGTGTACTTACCATTGGATTTGGACCCATTTTAACATTTTTAGCCATATCCATCATATCCAAGGCCAATCGGGCAATACATTTTGCATGATTCTCACAATGATCGGGTAATCCTGATACGGCCATATATTTATCACCGACTGTTTCGACCTGAAATAATAAGTAACAATGGAAAGGGATATCATTTAAGGAATTAACTATATAAAATGAGCATATACGGTGTCAATAGTGTAATGTAGTTCTGTATACAGAATATTTAAGGAATGTTTTCTCTATATAGAGTATCTGATGATTGTTTTCTGTCTATAGGAGACCAGATGAATCCTATCTCTCTACAGGGGAATAAATCTTTAATTTTTCTGTTCAAGAAAAAATTGGCTTCGATTCATGGGAAAATTTAACTTCTGTATTTGAAGATCTGATACAGGCCTTTTGTCTATTGAAAGCCTGAATAAGTTATTATTTTCATACAAGTCCTGGGTTAATAAAAGAGATCTGCAGTCCATAATAGAACGATAAAAGTATACTAGAACTTATTCTGTTATACTCTATAGATGGCATAAATATGGTATTATTCTATAGAAGAATACAAAAAAAAGTAAGGAAAGTAGTAATGTTGGACGGGGCCGACTATATGATAACCCTTCACCACTTTAGATATATTCTACATTTTTTAAGGACCAGTAGAATGTAATTAGATCCATAAACATGTCATTCAGTCAGATATAGAGTTACTTCTGACAATAGGACAAATTTATGTAAATCAATTTAAGGCAAATGTCGATCGGACATCCATTAATTATTTGGATATATGTGATAAACACGAAATCGTACGAAAATATAAACATATAAAAGCTATATTGAAATCTAAACCGATTTCTTGTTACAGATTAGGTTATACAAAATCGGGGCCACCTAGGGAGTTTGGTGCGGAATTTATATCCAACTTCTAGGTATGTCAATTTTGTATAAAATCGAACAAAAATATATATATAAGATACATCGAAATCTGAACCGATATATAGGAGCTATGTGTAAATCTGAACCGAAACTTAGCATACATCATTCTAGACCTTATTCAGTACGATATGTCAAATTTTGTGCAAATAGAAAAATATATAGAGACTTTGATACACCATTTACATTAAATCCGTCAAAAATATATATGGGAGCTATATCTACATCTGGACCGATTTTCAGAAATCTTAACACATATCATTCTAGACCTCATTCATTACGCTATGCCAAATTTCGTGAAACTTTAATGCACCATTTACATTAAATCGGAGGAAAATATATATGTGAGCTATATCTGAATATGAACCGATTTTCACGAAAATTAACACACATCATTCTAGACTTTATTCAGTACGCTGTGCCAAATTTCGTGCAAATCAAACATATACAGGGACTTTGGTACACCATTTACCTTAAATAGGACGAAATTATATTATGGGAGCTATATCTAAATCTGAACCGATTTTTACGAAACTTAGCACACATCATTCTAGGCTTAACTCTGTGCGATGTGCCAAATTTCGTGCAAATCGAAAGATATTTAGGGACTTTGGTGCATTTGCTTTAAATCGGACGAAAATATATGGTAACTATATCTAAATCTGAAGAGATTTTTCACAATTTCAATAGGGTTCGTCCGTGGGTCAAATAAATGAGCTGTGCGAAATTTCATCCAATTCCATCATAAATGCGACCTGTACTTTGTTTACAATTTAACATGGACAGACATGCAGACGGACGGACATGCATAAATCGACTTAGAAAGTGATTCTGTGCCTATTCTCAAAAGGAACCATGTGTCTATCTCGTTTCCTTTTGTACCACAGTGTGGTGAAGGGGATAAAAAAATATAGAAATTCTGAACTTCTGCCTATAGAACATCATCTGAAGAAAATCTTCCGTATATAGCATGATGAAGGTCTTATATCTATAGAAGACCCGAAGAAGTTCTTCTATCCATAGAAAAACTTCTTATGTTAATAAGAAGACTTTACTTTCATAGAAGTCCTAACGAAGTTCTCTACCCTATACAATATTTTAAATATGCATTCTGTCTATACAAAAGAAAATGTCTTCGATTTAAAGGAGACCTAAAGAAGACTTTCTGTCTATAGAACTGGAAATTAATCCTCTGTCTATTGAAGAATTATACTGCACAAGAAGTTATTCTGTCCATGGAAGAGAAGAGCATTTAAATAGAAAAATCTGCTATTTATCCAAAACCTAAAGGAGGTATTCAGGCTATAAAAATCCACAAGAAGTTATTCTGACTATAGAAATGGGGATTCTGAAATGGGATTCTGTCTATAGAAGAGTTTAACTGGGTTTTCTCATTAGAGAAGAACTGAAAAACATTTGCTGACTATAGAAGTTTTTCTGTCAATTGAAGAACGAAAGATGGTTCTGCCTATAGAAGACCTGAAAAAGGGTTTCCGTTTAAATAAGACCAGGTATATATAAAATCTTCTTTAGGCCTAGAGCAGCTAAAGAAGATTTTATATATACCTGGATTTAGAAGCTGTTTGCTGTCTTAGGAAGGCCTAAAATAGCTATATTTTAGTTTTAGCTCTATAAAATACCTGCAGAAGGTTATTTGTCTGTGGAAGAATTGTCTATGGTAGACTTTAAGAAAGAATTTTGTCTGCAGAAGAATCAGAGGAGGTGTTCTAGCTATATATGACCTGAGAAAAGTTTGTGTATATAGACGAAGAAGGTCTGTTATCCTGTATATAGAAGAGACTAAACATCCATATAGAAGAGCTGCAAAATGTATTCTGTCTATGAAAGATAAGAAGATGGTACTATGCGTTCTAAAGGGAAGGGATTTTAACTATAGAAGATTTTTGAAGGTCTTCTGGTTATGGAAGAGAAGTCTTGAAAAGTTTGATTGACTACAAAAGATCTGAAGAAGGTTTTCTGCCCAAATAAGACTTCTGATTGTAGAAGTCTCCTTAAATAAGATGTGGAGAAGATGTTCTGTTGATAGAAGTCATTCTGCGTTTGGAGCAGGTCTGTAGTCTAAGAAAGACCTAAAAAATACCTAGCTATAGAAGACCTGAGATTTTTTTTTTTGTTTATATAGAAGACATTCAGTCTGAATCTGAAGATGGTTTGTTTTCCATAGCAGACCTGCTGTTTCCTGCCCATAGGCGACTTGGAGAAGATTTGATGTCTATAGAAGGTCCTAGGTCGGAAGATAAAATTGTTATCTATAAAATGCGTGTAAAGGATACGATTCATATAGAGTCTATTTTCTGTTATATATAGATATTTCGGATCGGAATATCCTATGTCGATTTCGCCATGTCCGTTTGCCTTTTGAAATCATGATACAGATCGGTCTATTTAAGTCTTGACATTTTTCACAGCCATGTTTGGTATTGCAAATAGGGTATAGAAGTCCACGTTTTCGGGTTTCTTTAAAATGTTTAGCAAGCTTATTTAAACGGAATTTATTATAATATGGTATTCCGGGATCTTGGACCTTGAATAATATTTTTCAATAACATTTTATATTATGGCATCGTCACGTTCTATGTTCGGAATTATGAAGTTTTTAGACGAACTTGTCAACCGAAGAGGTGATAATTTGACATACCGGGTTCTTGGATATTGTACAATATATATATATTGACAAAGCTCCTGTATAAGGGCCCGGGTCCGTTTTTGGTATTTTAAAGTACATAGCCGCCTTTTCCAAAAGATGTGGCTGTAAGTTTACCATATAAAGGTCCCGCCTGGTATTTCTGAAGGTACACAGAAATACTGGAAATACACATGTATTTCTTAACAATTTTCAATATGGGTCCATGTTTTGATATCATATTTTGAAGTTGTTAGTAGCCCTTTCCAGCGAAGTGACTGGAATTGCAGAACATTTTTGATATAGAACCCCATTTTGACAAAGCCCCCATAGGATGGTACTGATCCTTTCGATATTTTGAAGTTCTTAACCGCATTTCTCAACTGTAAATTGTAACTGAAATTTTGCATTTCGATTTCATGGAGGATGACATTCATCTGTGGCGAAAATTATAAAGCTCGGCCCATGTTTTGGAATACCCCTTTATTACGACGTTCCTAGTTTTTAAAATTCATATTCAAATTTTCATTTTGTCACAACATCCCGTGACATTGTTCCCATCTAAAGGTTCTCGTGAAACAATCACACCACATGGTGCAGGGTACAAATTGTTCGGCTCCTTCGAAATAAATCCCAGAAGTAAATCTGGGATACATATATAACTTCTAGAACTTTTCGTATCGAAATTTGATCTTATAAGGTTGTAAATATTAAATTTAAAAAAGGCTTTTCTCGATCTCTTTTTAATTGAATTTGAATGATTCGTATTCTCTTTTCAACCGCGTTGCTTATGACGTTATCAAATCCTCCTTATTGATGTCTGGTATTAAAACTTTACCTTATATTTGTCCACAAATTGCTTTAAGAACTGCATACTCTATAATTCTCAATTTTCCTCTTCATTTCATATTTCAATTTCATTGCATTAGTTTCCATGAGTAAAGGAAAATAATATCCATAGAAAAAGAAAACTACTAACACCAACAACTACAACTACACCATGACCATAGGGAATCCGATGACTTTTGTTGAATTGATTGTCCGGTTGGGTTGGCTTTAAACCATTTTATGTGTGCATGAATTGTGTGTCGACTGTGTGCTGAGGGTGAGATTTGATTGAATGGTGCGGCTGCCGTCGTCGTTGCCGGCACCGCTACCGACACAGCAGTTATCATAACACTTAACAACAACAATTGCAGCAATTTTCCCATCAGTTTTGTTTGAATTTTCACAGTCAAAGTGAGTGAAAGACTTTCACTTTCAATTCTGCTGAACATTGAAATTAGAAATTGAGGTTTTATGAATGCCATAGTCCCATAGTTATCAATTTGAATGCAGGCATTTGAAATAAAGGACACGAAATGGAAAATGTGAACTTTTGAATTGAATTACAGTTTCCAATGAATTGAATGTTTAGGAATAGATAATTTTTAAAGAGCGTTAAGAGAGATACGTTTTTGCGAAACTTCTATGAGATGATTACTTCGACTTTATGGCATATATATGTATAATATATACAGTGGTGTTCACGCAATTAAAACATTAACATTTTTTGATCCGCCCTCGATTCGTTTGAATAATTTTTATTTATTTTTTCTTCATTCAGAACACTTAGATATACTACACTTAAGAGATTTAGTGTGAAAATAGAACATTTTTGCAATCATTTTTTCCATAAATAACTGCTTTTAAGAAAAACCAGTAAGGAAAGTAGTAAAGTCGGACGGGGCCGACTATATGATACCCTTCACCACTATGGGTATATTAAACAGGACTATTAAAATGAAATTGGATGAAATAATATATGTGATATTTATCTAAATGTGAATCGACTTAAATCTATACATAAACATGTAATTCGATTGTTACAATGGGACAAAAGTATGCAAATAGACTTCAAACAAATATCAATAGGTCATCAAGAGCTCTGTACTTCTAGAAAACGCAACTAAGTAATTCTATGTTCAATTTTGTACGTTGTGCAAAATTTGAAGTCAATCTGACTAACATGAGGAGTCTGATGTCCAATTTACTTAAAATCGGGCGAAAATATATATGGAACCGATTTCAACGAAACTTGCCACAGGTTAGGTAATACTAATTTCAGTACGTTTTGTTCCTATCAGCCATATATTGGATCCTTGGTGCGTCAATTACTTAAAATCAATCTATAATATAACGGAGCTATATCTAAATGTCAACCGATTTTCACGAAACTTGGCACACAGTCTGGACTAAATTCAGTACGCTATTCCAAATTTCGTACAAATCGAAGGATATATAGGAAACTATATATGGGAGCTATATCTAAATCTGGACCGATTTTCACGAAACTTGGCACACATTAGTCTGGACTAAATTCAAATTTCGTGCAAATCGAAGGATATATAGGGACTTTGGTGCACCATTTACATGAAATCGGACGATACTATATATGGGAGCTATATCTAAATCTGGACCGATTTTCTCTAAACTTGGCAAACATCACTCTAGACTCAATTCAGTACGTGATGCCAAATTTGGTGCAAATCGAAAAATATATAGGGCCTTTGGTGCACCATTTACATGAAATCTGACGAAACTATATATGAGAGCTATATCTAAACCTGAAACGATTTTCACGAAACTTGGCAACCATCACTCTAGGACTAATTCATTACGCTGTGCCAAATTTCGTGCAAATCGAAAGCTATTTAGAGACTTTAGTGCACCATTTACATTAAATCGGACGAAAATATATATGGGAGCTATATCTAAATCTGAACCGATTTTTGCCAATTTCAAAAGGGTTCGTCCTTGAGCCAAATTTTATCCAATTCGAATAATAAATGCGGCCTGCACATTGTTTACAATTTAACATGGACAGACGGACCTACAGCCGGACATGCGTAAATCTACTCAGAAAGTGATTCTATGCATATTCTCAAAAGGCACCATGGGTCTCTCTCGATTTACCGAGAGGCTACTATATATATATATATATATCTGACCTAATGTAGGCACATACTAAACCAAAGTTTTAAACGTTTCAAAATCATTATATGCGATGAAAATATCGAACGTTTGTATTGATGAGTGGGAATAAAAAAGGCATTGGGTGTCAAGTCAGAGCTGTAAGGCGGATGACACATCAATTCCGCTTTTTGTCTGTCAAAATGGTGTTGATAATGGTCGATTGAAGAGAGAACGGGTTTTCATGTTCGATTTTCGAATTACTCCGAATATTTCAGGGTATCTGTCCGACCAGTTTTCAAGTCGATTTATGCATGTCCGTCCGTCCGTCTGTCCATGTAAAATTGTAAACAAAGTACAGGTCGTATTTATGATCCGATTTGGATTAAATTTGACACAAGACTCTTATTTGGTCGAAGTACGAACCCTATTGAAAATGGGTAAAATCGGTTCAGATTTAAATATAACTTCCTGAAAGTCGTGAAAATCGGTTCAGATTTAGATATAGCTCCCATATATATTTTCGTCCGATTTATTGTAAATGGTGTATCAAAGTCTCTATATATCTTTTGATTTGCACGAAATTTGGCGGGGCGTACTGAATTAAAACTGGAATGATGTTTGTTATATTTCGAGAAAATCGGTTCAGATTTAGAATTAGCTTCCATATATATTTTCGTCTGGTTGTTTGTAAATGGTGCACCAAAGTCCTGTATAGGGTGAAATGAAAAAAGTGCTACCATCCTCAGACTGCTGTAATTTCTAAGCCACTCTTCCGACAGCTGTTAAAATTATTCAAGTGACAGCTCATTATACTGCTTACAAGCGTACAAAAGCGCTTTGGTGAGAAATTTCCAGAAAAAAATTTATTCGTGACGGAATTCAAGCGTGATAGTGTGATTTCTTTATATTTGGCTGGAAAAGCACAAGTGGCTATCGTTAGAGCACTCCACCATTTAAATTTGAAGACATTTTTGTGTCTCAAGTGGACGTCAAGGAAGTGGACGGTAGAAAACAGCAACATCAGCAGAAATGATTCGAAAAGTGGCTCTTGAGCTGAACATATCACAATATTCCATTCGGCAAATATTAAAAAATATGCTCGGGGAAAAGACATTGAAATTCCAAAACGTGCCAGAACTTACACCGCAACAGAAAGAAAATATACTCAAAAGAGCTAAAGAGTTACTTCGCTTGGCCGAAAGTGGTGAACTGCCGAATTTGGTTTTCTCCGATGAGAAAACATTCGTTGTCCAGCAGTTTGCAAACAAACAAAGATGTCAGCTGAATATATTCGTCACTCAAGCGCCGGCCATGGTGATGGCTTGGGCCGCCATAACATCCGATGGTAGCTCTTGCAGAATATTATCGCGAAAATATTCTGGAGGGTGTATAAAAACCTTGAGCAAAAATTTTGGCCGCAGACCTTGGACATTCCAACAGGACCATTCTGAGTGCGATGGTGGACGCGCCACCTAATAATGGTAACAAAATGAGGTTCCTCGCTTCATTTCCAGCGCACAATGGCCACCAACATCTCCTGATACCAATACGTTGGACTATTGTATCTGGAGTATTTTGAAAAGCAAGGTTGGCACTAAAAAATACCAAAGTGTTGATCACCTCAGGCAAGCGTAAAACATGTAAGAATTTTGACAACATGTAAAAAATTTGGCGTTTAACTTTGTTGCAGTTTTTTTATCTCACCCTGTATATCCTTTGATTTCCACGAAATTTAGCGTAGGGTACTGAATTGATCCTAGAATGATGTGTGCTAAGTTTCGTGAGAAGTTATTTCGATTTAGATATAGCTCCCACATATTTATTTTCGTCCGATTGTAGATAAATGGTGCACCAAATTCCTCATGTTTGTCCGATTGACAAGAAATTTTGCACAACGTATAAGATTGAGACTAGAATGATGTTATTGAGTTTTGTTGAAATTGGTGCAGATGCTGACATAGATTCCATATGTATTTCGAACGGGTGTCTGATTGAGACTAAATTTTGAACAGTGCGTATATTGATATAGCGTATATCAAGTGTGCTATAAATCGATTTCCATAAATTTCCTCCTAATAACTCGGTTTCTTGCGAATTTATTTTTATTCATAACAAGATGCAATTTTTTTATTCTCGCAATATTTTACAAAAATGTTGCCCATGGGATCTTAGATAAGGTTGCCAAAGACATCGTCCTATTTCACTTTTACCCGTTCTACGTTACGAATAACTGTCGGAGTCGTCTGAAATGTATTCCTTGCATACATATACGGATAATTACAATTTTAAATGAATTTTCAGTGAAATACGATATTTGTAACGTTTTTAATCATGTTGAGTAGATTAAAATATCTTCATGGCAAAAATGGTCAGAATTGGTCTAGTATTGATATATTACTTCTATATATCCATACTATACAGCATCATTCCAAGTGGGATGGAAATTTCATTGCTATTAAATATCAGTAGGAGACTCAAGATTGGCTTGGCAAACTTGACGTCTATTTCACCTCATTCTTTTAGAAAAATATAGAAATTTGCAAAATGGCATCTAACTGCAGTTTTTAGTAATTTGATAATTTAAGTATATTCTTTATTGATTCTTGAGAAATTTGTCACATTTCAATCACTGTTCACATTATCGGAAAATCAATTTGTTATGCAAATACCAAGAAAAACAAAACTAACTACAACACCTGAACAGTTGTTGTCTATAGAACACCAATGTATTTGTATGGCTTCTGGCTTGTGTTTATCAATTTCCAATTCTCCAATCGAAAACAAAACCATTTCACAGAAATCAACAGAAAAAGGAGAAAACCAACAAATCAATATTGCATTATTTACCTTGTAAATATTTGGATTGCGTTTTGAATCAGTCAGAGCATCAAAGACGGTATACAATTCGTTTAGCATTTTCACAATTTTCATGGCTCCCTCTGGATCGGTGTTTTCAGCACAGTATTGGCCAAAGCCCACAATGCCCGAAAACATTAACGTAACCGAATCATAACTGAAACGAGAAAAAAATTGAATAGGAGAAACAAAAACATCAATTGGAGATAGAAAAAAGAGTTGATTTGAAAAAAAGTATCAACTTTTTTTTTGGCCAATGATTTGAATGGTGCAGTAATCATCATTGCCATACTACTAGTCTTGGTATTGCTGCAACTCCGCTTCTATGTTTACTTACCGTTTGGGTGCCACTGGTCTTTGATGTCTCAGTTCATTAGCCACAGATTTCGGTAGCACCGAGTACAGAAGTCTATTTGAAGTGAATCAGAAAAAAGGAGAAGGCAAAAAAAAGAGAAATCGAAAAATGTTGAGTGTTGTGGTTAATCTGTATCTGCCACAGAATTTGTATTGCCAATAAAGTCTCTAATCTGTTGGTTTGTTTGTGTTTTTACTTGGCTGGCTAACTAGCCAACTTACCTATCGGTTTTTTGCTTTTCACTTTCCAAATCCCTAAAGGTTTGCTGCAATTTATCTGTGAGCATTTCCAAGTTTTTGGTTAATTTATATTCGGCTTCGAATTTTTCAGACAGCAAAACCAAATCTCTGGTGGCATCGTGCAATGGTACATCGGAGATGTGGAGGCCTTTTCTGTAAATGGAAAATTGTTTTGTTAATTAATTTGATGTATTTAGATTTTTTAATTAGGATAAATAAATAAAATTTAAATTATAATAAAAAAATATGTTTTATAAAATCCACGCCTTATATGGTCCTTGAAAAAATATTCTTTAAGAAATCCACGCCTTACTGATGATCATTGGAAAAATATTCTTTAAGAAATCCACGCCTTATATGGTCCTTGAAAAAATATTCTTTAAGAAATCCACGCATTATATGGTCCTTGAAAAAATATTCTTTAAGAAATCCACGCCTTATATGGTCTTTGAAAAAATATTCTTGAAAAAATGGTCCTTGATTCTATCCACGCCTTATATGGTTCTTGAAAAAATATTCTTTAAGAAATCCACACCTTATATGGTCCTTGAAAAATGTTCTTTAAGAAATCCACACCATATATGGTCCTTGAAAAAATATTCTTTAATAAATCCACGCCTTGTTTTGGTCCTTGAAAAAATATTCTTTAATAAATCCACGCCTTGTTTTGGTCCTTGAAAAAATATTCTTTAATAAATCCACGCCTTGTTTTGGTCCTTGAAAAAATATTCTTTAATAAATCCATTCTTTAATAAATCCACGCCTTGTTTTGGTCGTTGAAAAAATATTCTTTAATAAATCCACGCCTTGTTTTGGTCGTTGAAAAAATATTCTTTAATAAATCCACGCCTTGTTTTGGTCGTTGAAAAAATATTCTTTAATAAATCCACGCCTTGTTTTGGTCGTTGAAAAAATATTCTTTAATAAATCCACGCCTTGTTTTGGTCGTTGAAAAAATATTCTTTAATAAATCCACGCCTTGTTTTGGTCGTTGAAAAAATATTCTTTAATAAATCCACGCCTTGTTTTGGTCGTTGAAAAAATATTCTTTAATAAATCCACGCCTTGTTTTGGTCGTTGAAAAAATATTCTTTAATAAATCCACGCCTTGTTTTGGTCGTTGAAAAAATATTCTTTAATAAATCCACGCCTTGTTTTGGTCGTTGAAAAAATATTCTTTAATAAATCCACGCCTTGTTTTGGTCGTTGAAAAAATATTCTTTAATAAATCCACGCCTTGTTTTGGTCGTTGAAAAAATATTCTTTAATAAATCCACGCCTTGTTTTGGTCGTTGAAAAAATATTCTTTAATAAATCCACGCCTTGTTTTGGTCGTTGAAAAAATATTCTTTAATAAATCCACGCCTTGTTTTGGTCGTTGAAAAAATATTCTTTAATAAATCCACGCCTTGTTTTGGTCGTTGAAAAAATATTCTTTAATAAATCCACGCCTTGTTTTGGTCGTTGAAAAAATATTCTTTAATAAATCCACGCCTTGTTTTGGTCGTTGAAAAAATATTCTTTAATAAATCCACGCCTTGTTTTGGTCGTTGAAAAAATATTCTTTAATAAATCCACGCCTTGTTTTGGTCGTTGAAAAAATATTCTTTAATAAATCCACGCCTTGTTTTGGTCGTTGAAAAAATATTCTTTAATAAATCCACGCCTTGTTTTGGTCGTTGAAAAAATATTATTTAATAAATCCACGCCTTGTTTTGGTCGTTGAAAAAATATTATTTAATAAATCCACGCCTTGTTTTGGTCGTTGAAAAAATATTCTTTAATAAATCCACGCCTTGTTTTGGTCGTTGAATAAATCCACGCCTTGTTTTGGTCGGTTTGAAAAAATATTCTTTAATAAATCCACGCCTTGTTTTGGTCCTTGAAAAAATATTCTTTAATAAATCCACGCCTTGTTTTGGTCCTTGAAAAAATATTCTTTAATAAATCCACGCCATATATGGTCCTTGAAAAAAATATTCTTTAAGAAATCCACGCCATATATGGTCCTTGAAAAAATAATATTAAAAAATCCACGCCTTATATGGTCCTTGAAAAAATATTATTTAAGAAATCCACGCCTTATATGGTCCTTGAAATCCACGCCTTATATGGTCCTTGAAAAAATATTCTTTAAGAAATCCACGCCTTATATGGTCCTTGAAAAAATATTCTTTAAGAAATCCACGCCTTATATGGTCCTTGAAAAAATATTCTTTAAGAAATCCACGCCTTATATGGTCCTTGAAAAAAAATATTTAAAAAATCCACGCCTTATATGGTCCTTGAAAAAATATTCTTTAAGAAATCCACGCCTTATATGGTCCTTGAAAAAATATTCTTTAAGAAATCCACGCCTTATATGGTCCTTGAAAAAATATTCTTTAAGAAATCCACGCCTTATATGGTCCTTGAAAAAATATTCTTTAAGAAATCCACGCCTTATATGGTCCTTGAAAAAATATTCTTTAAGAAATCCACGCCTTATATGGTCCTTGAAAAAATATTCTTTAAGAAATCCACGCCTTATATGGTCCTTGAAAAAATATTCTTTAAGAAATCCACGCCTTATATGAAATCCACGCCTTATATGGAAAAAATATTCTTTAAGAAATCCACGCCTTACTGATGATCATTGGAAAAATATTCTTTAAAAAATCCACGCCTTATATGGTCCTTGAAAAAATATTCTTTAAGAAATCCACACTTTGGGTTTGTCCCTGAAAAATATTCTTTAAAAATCCACACCTAACTGATGGTCCTTGAAAAACATTTCTTTAAGAAATCCACACCTTGGGTTGTTAAGAGAAAAATATTCTTTAAAAATCTACACATAACTGATGGTCCTTGAAAAAATATTCTTATAAAAACCAACGCCTTATTGATGGTCCTTGAACAAATATTCTTTATGAAATCCACGCTTAACTGATGGTAAGGGTAAAAAATATCCCTTAAAAATTTCAAGCCTTTATTGGTCATTGAAAAATATATTTTTTAACTAATACACACTTCGGTAGGTCCTCGTTGAAAATGTGTCTTCAAAATTGAGCTTTGATATCAATTCTAATTATTGGTCTCATAATTCACCAATGAAGAAAACAAATATTTTAAAATTGAATTTCACCATGACTATTAAAATCTTTTATCCAAATCAGATGTGTTAAATGTTATGCTTTCCGTTTAGCACTCCATGGAGGGATATTAAATATTTTCCATTCACTGCAGTGATGTGGCCCTTCATTTTTTTTATTTTGGTTTCAATCTGCACCAGCTTTCCTTGGTCAGGTCGATATGCTCGACAGAAATAATTTGTTAAGAGAATGTGCTTGTTTCCTCTGCATATTGCCTTGGGGATGTGAAATGACAGACACCACGGGTTTCCACAATAACAACAACAAATAAAATAACAACAACATGTAGAAGAATTCATTCAACCAGTCCTTAAGGCCCCCAACCCCCATTTTGTGGTCTATGAGGTGTGGTAGTGTGTGTGTGCGCGCGTGTATGTGCGTAGTCTAGAGTTATTTGCATTTGTGTGGTGGGACGGCCCCCCAAAAAATATACAAAAGTTGAGTAAATCTGTCAGTGGATATTCTGACAGTTATTAACACTCAGTCAGTGGTTAGTCGTTGATGTTGTTGTTCTGGCTGCTGGTAATGTTGTTGTTCATAATGTAAATTATCCTCTTTAAACAAAAATTGACTATAACAAAAATAAGAGGAAAGAGAAAATATTGAACGCAATAATCTCTGTCATAGTTCACTTCTCACAGATGCCAATTTCTGTCTGGCTTTTCAGTTCAAGCATTTCATGGCCCATGGCGATGGAATGTGTATAACTTAAGCTTAAATAATAACAAATGCCCACTAGAGGAAAAGGCAAACAGGATGTGAACAATAATATTAAGCAAAGAGGAAGCTTTCCCAAAAGAAAAATAATATTAAGGAACCACTAGACACTGGCAAATATTAGTGAGAGTGATTGTGCACATAGTGTTTGTGATGATGTGAGTGGAAGTAGATTTTTCTATGATATTATAGTGAAGATTACAATAAAAGTTAACAAAAATCTACGCCTCAGATGGTGTATCAAAAAATATTCTTTAAAAATCTTTGGTTCAGAAAAATTGTTCTTTGGAAAATTTATGCTCTATATAGTCCATAAAAAGTTTTCTTAAAAACTACTCGCTTCAGATAGTCCTTAAAATGATTCCTTAAACACTTCATGCTTCGGTTGTCCTTAAAACTATCCCTTAAAGAACTGCGCTTCAGATATCCCCAGAAAGAATAATCTTTGACGAGTCTACGATACAGCAGGCCCCCTGAAAAACTAAATATGCTTCAGATGGTCCTTTACAAAAATCTACGCTTCAGATAGTCCCAGAAAAAATATTCATTAAAAATCTTCATCTTCTTTTTGCAGACAAACCCAAAACATATTACCATCAGTACCGAAAACGTATTCATGTGGCTACATCATCACACACTTCAGGGTCATCAAAAATATAAAACTCATCACGTCCTAACATTAAATTGGGTTCTACTGCATTATTATCCTTTTCCCAGTTTCCTAATAACTCACCAAGGAGTTTTATGACCAAAATGAAATATTACACACATTCTGTGTTAAAAATATTCTCGGTGGCGTATACATTATATATTATACAATATTATATATAACTCATACGCTCTGTTATTCTTTGATTATTATGAATATTATAGAAATACATAACTCCTCTATAATGTCATGACTTATAAACATTTAAACATATTTCATTATGGGGCATTTTCATATTTTATTGCTCTGACATATGTCCCGCTTAACAAATAAAGAGTGTTTTTGCCAACACATTGTCCGTTTGCTGTAGTTGGTATGTGTGTGAGTGTTCAAACCCCGACACATATTTAAACATACATGTTCTTATACCATACAACAATTCCAACAGCTATTGGGAATGGGAATGTTGTTAATTGGTAGCTGGAGAAATTAAATGTACGATCAAGTTAATGTTTGGATTTTTTTGTAAGCAGGAGCCAAAGGCAGGGAGTTGTTTCGAAGGCCTTTCAAGAGGCCCTAGAAACCAGTTGAAGCCCAGGGAGTCTATATAGATGAACTCAAGGCCAGGGAGTCTATGCAGATGATCTGATGGCCTT